AGTGTATATACACACACACACACACACATACATCGAGAATATTTGAAATTAAAATTGTTCATATACAACGGACATTATCAATTTCATAAGAACAAAAGAACGATGTCTATATTGACATATGTTATACGATGGTGCTGATAAATATCGGTTATTTCAAGATGAATAAATTAATAGTTGCAAGATAGTTGTAATAAATTTTCGACAAGAAACGAAAATAATTATAGACAATGGCTCATTTAACGATAGTAACAAAAAGGTTGGTGTAGATGTCTTGTAGAATAAATGCAAAGAATCAGTTTTAAGTTTTTTTTCTTCTTAAATTGGCATATAATTCTCTTTTGTAAAAATGTTATTTAGTTTTCTTTTTATTTGTGTGAACATAACCATTCTAAATTGTTTACTTTAAGTACCGGAAAACAAGTTCATATCAAGCAGTTCGAAGGAAAGAAAGAAAATAGTCGAGTGTAAAAGTTATTGCTGAAAAATTCATTTGTGGAATAAATATCGATTGGACTCTAGAAAGCATCTATTAACCAAAATTTCATCGAATTACACATTAATAAAGTGTTGATTAGCAAACTTGTCTGATGTGTATCGATAACAGACAACTATGTTAGACACATTTCTCTCAATGGAAAACAGAACAGGATTTTTTATTCTGCATTGTAAAAAATAAAGTGTGCCCAAAACACATTGAACTTGTACATCAGTTGGATTTGCATTTGTGTATCTAGAAATGCATGATGTGATGTGCCAGAAACACACCTGCGAACATAGGCAGACTTTTAAGAATCAGTTGGATTTTCGCATTTGTGCACTTAGAACTTTTACACATCTACGCGTACACATTATTTTTTTACAGTATGGACTTTTCTTTTACTTTGGATCGAATGATTTACTACTGAATTTTTAGACGAGAAGATTTATTTTTGACGAACAAAATTAAAGTTCAATGTTGCTCTTTGTAAGCAATCAACGTCAAGATTTCTACAATAATTCGACGTTTTTTCAATCGAAGTTTTATCTATTGAGTGGAACATTATGATAAATTTCTAGTCAAAAACGTTATTTACTATCCTGATCTCGAAATTGATTGTCTATGAAAGCCAATATAGAATGATATTCAGTGAAAATAGAGAGGAAAAACAAGGTCTTGTTGATCTGATTGTACATAGTAGGACGGAAATTGTTTACTATCGATTCACAACTGAGGGGTGGTGAATAATCAATTTTTTTATCCTATATTTTTCTGGTTGACTACCAAGAGATTTTACTAAAGAAACATCAGTGAAATCCGGAAGACATTTTTTATTAAAAAGAAATTTTGCCTTGAGTTCTCTTTGAAAAAGTCATATTACGATTTTATTTTTTCCCTATGTGTGTGTGTGTGATTTTAATATATTAAGTTGAAAAAAGAAAAAATGATTTTTCTCTCTCTCTTTTCTCTTACTTTCTCAAGTTGTTTTCTATATCGTAAGAACTCACTCCACACATCTTTTCTTTCAATTACTACTTTTTTTCTCTTTTCTTCTATTTTTTTTTTCAATCCGGAAAATACAAGTTTGTTCCACTGTACGGAGATATTTCCGTTTATTCTATATGCATACTTGATTTAATTTATCGATACGAACGTGCGCATATTGACAGGTAAGTTTTGATGATGCTGACGATTTTTTAGTAAAATATTGGTTTAAAAGCCTTGATAAAACGGGGCTTTTCTTTTCTCTTTTCTTTTACGCAGTATAAAAAAAGACAGCGTGAAGTTCCTATTGTTCTATCCATTTATTTAAAAAAAAAAATAAATAAATTTCCAAGTCGTTGTGTTTCCATAATTTTTTTTTTTCTTCTCTCTCTTTTCTCTATGATAATAGCATATAGTTTTTCTCTGATTGACATTCATTATGTCAAAAAACTGAACGCATATAAAAATCTTTCTTTATTCACTAAAGGACACAGTAAACAATGACAGGTGAGTAACAAATTTAGAGAAGAAAAAAAAAAAGAAGAGAAGAAACGTGTGAAAGATGATAGCAAGTCTATAGGATTATAAAAGATACATTTAAAAAAGCGAAAATATTTGTTGTAAAAGAAAGTTGATAGAAAGTAATTCAACGAGTTTCGGTAGTAATCATTTCCATTAAACAGCTGATATAATGGTCTAATGTTACGTCATTTTCTGCCATGTATATAAACATGCAACACTACACACGTATAGGTCTATGTTTCACGGTATCATATTTATTTTTTTTTTTTTTTTAAAACTTTTTGGTTTTAAATTTTATTATAATTAAAAAAAAATAAAACAAACATTTTTCGGTAATGATGGTAACCTTTAATTTTTTTTTTCTCTTTTTTTTTTTTTTTTTTTTTTTGAAAAAAAAATGTTTGTTATGCCAAATACACTTTGTGTCTATTTGAAGGAGAAATGTTCGCCGAGGGAAAGGAAAAATAGTTTTTAAGAAGATTAATGGATTTTTAAGAAACTGTGTAACATAAGAATGACTTTTGTTACAGATTTCTAGTCAGTATTTATAAATATCGTTAAATTCTATTATCCAGTAAACATAAAAATTGCACATAAGAATAGAAAACTAGTAAGTTTTAAAATAAATTATTTCTCTCCATCATTCACTCGTTTTTTGCAAAAATTTTCATGTCGTCTTTCTTAATCTTCTAGATGAGTTCTTGACGTTTATATTGTTGAAAATTAATGTTAAATACTTAGTTGACTGCAAAAATTAATTCTTTTCGTATTCTATTACAGGAAAAAATTACTTGGCCATTAATTTTGTGTTTAGATCAAAGTTTTATCAAAGCTTTATTTTTTTTATTTTTATAAAAGATCACTTTGACTTATTGATTGACTATTTTAATTAAACTATATTGAATACTGGCATTTTTTTATTTTTTGCCCGACACATAGCAAGAGAAGGTGTTATACATAACATAGAAACTTTTCATCATTAGCAATCTCCTGCTGTTAGTTAAACGTTTATCGTGTAACCAAATATATGATAAAGCTGTAATTTTGTATATATATATATACATATTTTTTTTTCTTTTAAGTAATAGAATGTTAGAGCATTAAAAAACATAGAATCAATGTTTATAAAATATCAAACAAGAGTAGTGATTTTCTTCATTGTTCTATTTTAAAGAGTTTGATGTAATTCAAATGATCGAGCCGTTCAAATTTTTGAAGTGTTATGACGCGAACACAAGAATGAAGTATATTATTCTTATTAAATTTCTTTTTCTCTTCTTCTATATAGAATTGATTTTCATATATATGAATTGAATGATAAACCATTTTAAAAAACTTGAATAAGTACGGTATTTTTTCTCTCTTTATTTTTTTTAAACGTTCTTATAGAGTTGTCATGCGTTTGTAGAGTCGTTAAATTTAATTTATATCCTTGAAAAAGAAACTACTAAACTTTCTTCTGATTCTTCTTCTTCTGCATCATGATCATCATTGATGTCTTTAAACATTAATAATGAAAAAGCAATTTAGTTTAAACAAGTTTACAAGTGGGCTATTGTTGTTGCCGTCATCGGGTTGTCATCACAAACACATCAGAGGAAGGATTATTAATGAAGAAAAAAATGTAGATTACTAATAATAATTACTAATAGTTAACAATATCATAAAACAAACATATTCTTATTAAATTTTTTAATATCAAATTGTTTATTTATTGTTATAGTCATAGATAATAATTCGCCTTATTAGAAGAATATGAGAGAAAGAAAAAAAAATTTTTCTTTTTTGTTTTAAAAGTTATCTAACATGATATATTATACAATAATAAAACACGTTTTTACTCTTTAAAACTGCCTCTGTAAAATCTTAAAAAAGTAAAAAATATTCAAAGAATTCAAAAAAAAATTTTTTTTTTGAATAATAAAAACGTGATTTAAAATAAAATTCATCTAATAGAACACAATATAATGTGTTCACATCTAATAATTTATCTCTTTCTTCATTTATATTTAATGTTTTTCACGAGGATCTGAGAATATACATTAAAGTATATGCCAAAAACTACTTTTTTGTGTTTCTTGGCACATGCTTGGCAATAAGGCTAACAGTAATTTTGATAAAAATCAGAAATTTTTTACTTTACAACATGTACTAAATTGTCAAATATCGAACGAGTTAGCACACGTTAAATGACATACGGAAAAAGGTAGCATGTTAGTGTTGATTAAGAAAATAGATATCATAGCTTAATTCGTTCGAAATATTGTATAAAAATAAATTTTTGTTTTAAACCTAACTATTCATATGTTCGATAGACTGACAAAACAAAATTATTAAATGCATGAATAGTTGAGTTTGTGAAACAGAAACTTTATTATCTTGAACGACGATCATTCACCATGGAAATCATAGTCAAATATATAATAGAGAGTGTAATAGCCTTTTGGATAACATCAAACAACATTCTTGTGATCAATGTTGCCAACTGTTCCCTTCGATAAAACAACTCAAACTTCAGAAACATATTCAGATATTCATATTACTAAACTTTTTACAGCTAGGTTGTTAGCGTACATCATATAAATTCATCTTTTGATTCAGAAATTTTAATTTAATTTTGAGTGAATATTTTTAATTCTTAAAAATAATTAGAAATTTGAAGTATGACTATCATATTGTAATTTTCTTATTGATAATAAGGTTTCACTGAAGACTTATTTTCTAAAACCTTTCACTTCAGGGACGTAAAATCTATTTATATTCATCTTCTATCCGAAATAAAAAGGATAAACTTTTCTATTGAACTAACTTTGATGTTAACTTTGAGTATAACAAATCTCTTTTCTTCTGGTTTCAAAAACTATTTAATACTTTATATGTGCTATCGAGATAAAAGATAACGTCATAGTAAATGTTAAATTTTAGATATTTCTTTTAAGATAAACGAAATGAATTAATATATTGTATCTGAAAATGGTACTTTTCGTTCTAAATTCACTGTGTATTTAGACCATCAATGACTCAGTGGCCATTACAACGAAATATTTATACAATACAACCCCCAGCCAAAATTTCCGTTCATAATCCAACATTATCGACTACTACCACATATCAAAATTCTGATGTTGTACAAGTGCTTAGTAGTAATTCAACACCATCTTCTGTATTAACAAATCACAATATGAATACGCCACGATCATTTCATTCATCAGACAATCAAAATCATTTACCTCTCATCCATAATAATAATAATAGTAATAGCAACAATACTCATCAAAATATATCACTAGATGACAGTCTAACAAATTTATCTTGGTTACATGATATGAATATTTTAAAACGAACCATGCCAACAATACAAACACCTTTGAAAACAACGAATGATAAAAATACGTCTTCTACACAACAATTAAAACGTAAAGATCCACCATTATCGTCGTCAGCTGTTTATGCAGAAGATGATAAAAGTTTAATTACCGATGAATTATTATCGCTGAATGATACGACGACAATGATTGATCTATCGAATTTACCCGATTGGCGTACATATAGAAAAAATCCAAATATAAAACCACCTTATTCCTATTCACAATTAATTGTTCTTGCAATGCAACATGGAAATGCGGATAAAATGACACTACAAATGATCTATGAATGGATAATTGAAAATTTTCCCTATTTTAAAAAAATTGAGCCAACTTGGCAAGTAAGTTTTTATTTTAAAAATAAAATTTCACACCAAAGATCTGAAACGTTATATTTGTTTAGAATTCCATTCGTCATAATCTGTCACTAAATAAATGTTTTATGAAAGTACCTCGTACAAAAAAAGAACCAGGCAAAGGTGGATTTTGGAAACTTTTACCTGAATATGAACATCGATTAATTGAACAAATGTCTGCAAATGAAGATCAACAACAAATCATATCATCATTACAAACTCAACAGCCAACACAGAATTCAACAATAAAACGTCGACGCCCAAGATGTTCAAATTTAGATGATATTCTATCCGATAATGTTACACCAATAATCAAAAGTCAAACAAAATGTACAAAACTTGTTAAATCTGAAGCATGGTATGATCCTGTTTTACCCTGTATTATACCAACAAAAATTTCTCCATTACATTGCAATACAGTTCCTACCGCTCAACTTCTTCGACAACAATATCATCAACATTCGTCAAAAGCATTATTAACCACAAGTTTATTATCGCCAATATCATCACCAGATTCAGGTATATCATCACCATTCGCCACATATATTCAGAAACAACAATCATTTGATTCAAACGATAGTTCATCAACACATCATCAACAACAACAAAATAGTAATTTTCCATCAATTTTAACTCCGTCACCATCTACTTCACCTTCATCCATGTCATCAATATCAGCCAATAATCAACAAATTATTGTGAGAAAAACTGAAAATAAAATGTGTGAAAAATCATTTGAAGAACTATTGTTGTTAGAATCAGATGATTTAGATTGGGATCAATATTTGAGAGAAACTGCTACTGACATGGATGATAATGAAAATTGTTGTGCCCTCTTATCGACACAATCGGCAAATGAATTATTTAGTGACTTTAGTACAACAATAGCTCAGTTAGATATTGATATGAATAGTGGTAATGGAAGTATAGGAAATAATGTAATTAATGTTAATACTTGTTTATCGACGAATGCTTTCGATAATTTTGAATGTTTAATGCAAACATCATCACATGATGTAGAATCAATAGCCAGTTTGTATAATACACAAAATTTTAATTTATTATTTGATCAAGATGAAGAAATTGGCGGTAATAATAATTCATTTTCGGATCTCACAGCAACAACAACAACAGCACCAACAACATCTTCTAATGGCAGTAAAACAATCAAAACACCGAATTTAACAATAAAAGGTTGTGGTATAAAAAGACCATTATGGTGGGATACTACACAAGAGACAACAACGTCAACAACCAATAATAGTGGTAATATTACGAAATTACCATCGCTAGAGACAGCATTCGATATTAAACTACACAAATAGAGATTCGTCACTCGTATTTTTGACACCATAGCGAACCTGAAAAGGGACGATTGCTGGGAAAGATTAGAAACTCGAAGATATGAGCTCATCGTACAAAAGAGATCAGTAGAAAAAAAGGATTGATCTTCTTACTTGACGTTTAGTTTGGAATTACTGTATCTCGTAGATATTAGTCTAGCACATTTGTCTATCGACTCATTTAACTAGAAAACACGCAAGTCTTCACAAAAACTTTTAAAATACAAGGAAAAGCTAAGAGTTTTGGTTTGTATTGTTCAAAATGTAAATACATACATCTGATCTGTTTTTTAGTCTTCCATACCGAAAACAGTACTGAATAACAGTGTTATTATTATTATTATTATTATTATTACAAACCGTATATATTTTACATTATTTACATAATCTAAAAAACAGACGATACTGTTCAAGCATAATAACTTCAAACGCATTGTTTTCTTTCTCAATCTTAACATTGATTTGAATTTTTGCTGTGTTCTTATGAAATCTCGTTTTTTACTTTTTGCTCTTTTTCAAATTGGTACATTTAATTGATCTGCTTGTTTATGGTGAATACCATAACTTTCGTCCATTTTTCTGTGTTCTGCAAAAAGAACCGTTTCAAATTGTACAAATTAATGCATTTCTTTTTGTCTGTTTGGTTTTTGGGTTTGGATTGTACACATACTGTTTTTCTGTAGTTGTGGTTTGTTTTTTCGCAATTTTTATGCTCTTCTAATTAATCTACTATGCCGTCCATAATTTTCTCTTTTTTATCCGTCCGTATCTATTTCAAACTGTGATGTTTAATGAATTGAATTTTTCCTCTTCTTTTTCTGGTTTTATGAATCATCTGTGCTCTATTAAACAAAATAATTGCATTGTTTTTCGAAGAAATCATGAAGTTATGGTTAAAAAGTTAAACAAATGACAAAAGTTTGACAGGAACAAGTAGTTCTACATGCTAGAACTCGTGGTGATATCTTCATCTTTTCTCGTATTAGTTACGATGAAAATCATAAAACTGAAAAAAATACCATACAATCAAAAGAAAAATGTGTTTCAAACTTACGAGGAAACCTTCCCAAGTATCCAATCACTTTTTCCTCAAAACATACACGCTTGTGGACAATCTTTGATGCTGATCACGAATTTGATATCTGTTTCTGCTGCTGGTCTTTGGGGGTGGGTCTCTGAAATCTGGGTGTCCAAAGATCCGCTATGAACTTCCAGTTGAACATATTTTGCATCGCCAGATTGTAGAGCACGTGGAAAATATGTGGGAAAATATTCAGAACCAACGAACAAGTTCTCGTAGAGATAGAAAAGTTTTAGGGTTCAAAAACCTGAAATATGTTGGTTCCCTGCTGGATTAGAAACTAAAATTTTTCTGTCTCTACGAAAACTTATTCGTTGGTTCTGAATATTTTCCCACATAGGTAATTCAACGTCCTCTACAATCTGACTCTACAAGTGCCAAAATATGTTCAGCTAGAAGTTCATAGTGGGTCTTCGGACACCCAGATTTCAGAGACCCACCCAAAAGGCCTAGCAGCAAAAACGGATATCAGATTCGTGATCAGCATCAAAGATTGCCCACAAGCACGTATGTTTTGAGGAAAAAGCGATTAGGCACTTAGGAAGGTTCTCTTGTTAGACATTGCCCTCGCTAGGAATCAGAAGTGTTTCAGATAAAATATAGAAAAAAATAGTACGAATACAGACATGAACTACTCGCCTGGAAATAGAGCGAATCGCTGGTGACTTATTCACAAAAAAAAATATATATAAATTTTTTTGATCTATCCAAATTTAATGATCAGGTAACAAACTGAATTCTGCCTTTTAAAATATTTTATAAATTTTTTATAGGTGTATATGACAAATCGCCGAAGTACATTTGAATGTCATTAACATTTGAACTAATAAATCAACATAGTTATTTTGATGGTATTTTGTTGTTCGTTGAGATTTTTCGATTTGATCATGAAACTTTTCTATTAACGTTATTTTAGAGTTACATGTGTTTGTTTGATTTAACTTTCTCAGATATTTAACCATTTTCAATACGATTTAAAAATGTTGTTTCTTTATTGTCTACAATATTCTTATTTTTTATGACATTCATATTTTTCATTGTATGAAAACCATATAAATAAATCCAAATATTTTATTGACAAATATTAATACCATTAATATAACTACTAACATCATTATAGTTTTATAATTGACATTCAATTGCTTTTAATAGTACAGTTCATCTTCTAAATGTATATTCTGACTAAGGCTGAACATTGTATTTTGACTAAAGAGTATATTGGATTAGTTCTAGCGGATAGGTACAATTGAGACTCGTCTGACTCATAATTCTTGTAGCCAGTGATTTATCGAGTGGACAAAACGGATAACAGGCGGCGCTTAATCAATTTTTCAGTATGCTGCATCGAAAATTAACAATTAATTTGACAAAAAGTAGCATTTTAGACAGTAGCTCATCTCGAAGCATTTATCTACTCCTCCGGTAAATGAAACCTAGATAAATCACTGCTTTCAGCTGCTAATTGTCATTGATGTACCGTTGTACATCAGCATCAAGCAAATATATATAAAGTGTTCATCATATCGTTTATTTGTTCATGCATATCACGAATCACCAATTAAATTTGATTTGATTGTGACGAATCTTAAACTTGTATATGCAGATCTGTGCAGATCTACATTCTTATATATAAATATCTTATAATAAAAACTTATTGGTATAATAGATTCTTTAGGTCGAAAGATGAGACTTCGACGTTTTTACTCTTTTCTGTTTTTTCTTAAAAACTAATTGAGGAACGGTGAGATAATTTCTGCAGCAGATAATTTTTCGTTTACTGTGAAAATGTTTTAGAAGGTTGAGCCATTTAGGGGTACCATCGAAAAGATATGCAACTAAAAACATTTAGTTTTAAAACCAGTCAGTAACGAACACATTTAGATTACTTAGGAAATCGGAAAAATTACTAAACCAAATTCTGATCAAGAAAAAGGTTTTAACAAATTTATTTGATGTCTTGAGGTCCGCACGTTATTATCTGATTTTCGATATAGCTGAACATTACGTGTTCAAGATTACATTATTAAGACTAGCCTATAGTATGCTTATCATCCTTTACTCGTCACAAGCATATTCGAGTTTCATGATGAGCGTTAATGTAAGTGGTATTCAAAACACATGATTCTAGTTACGGATGTTCTAAAACTACTTTTTACAAATGGTATATGTCATATGACTGTACCGGATTTTACATTATAAAAAAACGATTCAATTCTCAGTCGTTGCCTAGCAACGTTGTAAGAATGATTTTAAACATGACTGAATTCTCATCTACAGAGTGATAGAAAATTAAAATCAATTTGTGTTCTGTTTATTATTCATATTAGAATATTCAATCAATATTTAGTTAAACGGTATCTATCATAAACTCTACATGAGTCAAAGTTTCTTTTTGTCACTTACCATAACCTCTATCATTACAGTTTAACACTACAATTCAGCTTTTGAGTTGTTGTGCCTTTTGCAGTTTGAGTTGTTTTCTAATTATAGATCTGATTGTGAAGTGAATTGCTGAATCTAACTGTAAAATTTCCACTGTGACATCGATTCCAAAGTGAAAAAATCAACCATAGCAAAAATTTCTATTAAAAACTTAGAAGCTGTCAGAAAATCTTGCATTGTTCATAAATTTAAAGGTTTCATTTTCTCCGCACCAAACAGGAGAAATAGTCTGTTCTTATTTTTCAGATCTCACTAGCACCATGGTTGTTGGACAAAACGGTGCCGCCAATCAAGAAGAATCTGTTTATAATCTTGTTCCACGCACAGAAATACGTGCACCAAAAGCGCAAAGGTAAGTGATAAATAAACGACCTACTGCTATCGAGTAAGAAAGAGTATCAAACAATGATTTTTGTGTTTTAAGATATGAGTCAACATTTAAAAAAGCTGCTACAGAAAGTCTGAATAAAGGAAAATATCCACATCGCACCATGGGATATGCTGAAGAACCATTACCACAATCCGAAAATTTTTTGAAAAAACATGAAAAAGAAAAAAGATTACCAGAAGGTAACTTAAATTGCTTTCTAATGAATGTCAACAATTTTACTTATCCTCTATAGTCAAAGAAACAACAACAAAAATAGACCGTAATGAAATAAGAAAACCGGCCGTACCAACTAAAAATGATATCCCCAAAATGGGTGTGAAAACAGAAAAAAATTTTATTCAATCAAACGCTTTAGATGCAGTTATGGCCGTACCGAGAAAACCTGAAAGAAATCTCGTTGATGATCGATTTGGTGACAATTTTCCTGTAGATCCAAGTGGTTTAGTGCCAAAATATTTGAAGAAGAAAGTATGTAGTAAAAGAAACTATTATTAATCCAGTAAATATTTCCTTGGGAATTGCAGGAGGAAATTGCGGACTTTATAGACTTGAGCGGACTTTGTGAACTTTAAAGTCCGGTAAAGTTCAGTAAAGTCTCTGTAAGTCCTCCCAAGTCCGCTCAGATCTTTTAAACTTCTCAAAGTCCACCTACTTGAGCGGACTTTTGAGACGTTAAAGTGTGACAAAGTCTCCGTAGGTCCGGTCAAGTCCTCCCAAGTCCGTTCAAGTCTAAAGTTCGCAGTTTCTCCCTTGATTTTACCACTATTATTACTATTCTCGCTGCTAGATATAATATAAACATATTTTCTGACTTTGTAGGATTTTGGAGAAGTTCCCGTGTACATAAAAAAACGTCAAGAAGATATGAAAAAAGCTCAAGATGAATATAGCTCATATGTGACAGACTATTTTCGACGTGGTGCAATGAGAGAAATGGGTGATAGTGAACGACGTTCAGTTATTGATGGTTAGATTGTACACATTAGTGTAGTTATATGGCTATAAGTCCTTTTTCTAATATTGTTGTAGGATTGAAAAAGCAATGGGAAGATGTTCATCATGAATATCAAACATTATCAGTGCTTATAGATACAATACCGAAACGTCAACGAAAAGAACGTTTAGAGCATGAAATGCAATTATTAGAAAAAGACATTGATTTGCTCGAAAAACATCAGGTTATTTATATCGCTGATTAAAATGACGATCATGTAGTTTTTTGTACAATGAGAAAAAACTTAAAGAAAACGATCAGCATTGACTTTTTTCACGTTTGTAGATCCTTTTAAATGCAATAAAGACAGAAAATAGGATGGCAAAGTATTCAGACCATAGATTAGTTATCTATTTTTATTTATCTTGCCTGTTGTTGCTCGTGTGTGACTGTGTCTCACCTTTTTTAGCCAAATTCACAAGGACACTGTATACACTGCGTAAGACACAAATATTGCTTCACGCTTAATAGGCACATCGCTCTCTAATTCATAGAAATTATTCTGATACTAACTATTTGTTGAAAAAATGTTGAAAAAAATAAATGTTATCTCCAACACAAAGAATTCAGCTAAATTGATTATTTTATTTAATAATGCAAAAGCGTTCAATTCAGACTAAAGTTAACATCAGTTACATAACCACTGAAGAAAAACGAGACATAATCATAGAACGAACGTTTTAAACAGCTCAAGAAAGAGAAGTATTACGGATGCTCATATTGTACTGTTTCTCTTCCTTGCTTACAAATAACATATTAAGCTGGAAAAGTTTTTAAGAGTTTAAAAAACTGAATGACTAAGAGAAAATAAAACATCTAAAAAAAACACTGTTCATGTAAATATTAATAACTGATCAAGTTGTATGCCACATGTGCATGTGTCATTGTAGTAATTCTTTCATTATTTCTCTCTTTTTCAAATCTATGCGACCACACATAATCACTGCTTTTTTAAACTGAACGACGTGACCTTTGTTGTAAAGTCCATCATGATGTTGCTCCACTCACAGTTCAAAACAGTGTAATATGGACATCGTCTCATGTCTATTCTTCTTTTAACTAAAGCAGTACTCACAAATCCACTTTGTTAACAAGTTTGATTCTAACCTTTTATGATGGAAGTAAGATTGACTGTAAAGCTTCTGGAACAGTAATTTAGAAAAAGTCTCGAAGATTCTTTAGCACATTTTTGTAAATAAGAATATTTATCGCAGAGAGAAATATAGCAAACACTTTTTTTCATATATGTTTTTGAACATCTGTGCGCTAGATGCTTAGAGGCTTTGAGAAGGAAGAGATGAATTCAAAAGATCTGGGTGTGTCAAGCATGTTTTTAGTACAAAGTCTCATCTTCTTCCATAAGAAGCTTTAGTCTGTTCCTTGGAATCGTTTTCGACTAACTCCCTCAATTTTTTTAACTTTTGTTTTGGTTTACCAACACAGTATTCGTAACTAAAGTTCTTGAAGGCTTATGTATCTTTGTTTGGCAAGTATGTAGGCTTTAATACACCGCGGATTAAACAGAAAATTGTCTAAGCATTCTCTAAGAGAGAGAACAAACGATGGATTACCTTAACGAATGAGCAATAAACACTCGTCTTAACTATAGACACACAACTAAACAAAATAGTAGAATCGTAAACAATTTTTTTAAAACGATATTTTTTGAAATCTTCAATGATTAACTACGGATGTTCTTATCGTTCTTATCTTATATTAGACTCTTTAAAATTTACAGTGCAATTGATGATCATCTCATCACTTTTGTTGACCATCTATATATCTCGTTTTTCTTCATCTTTAATTATGTGGCTAATATTAAATAGAGTCTGAATTGAAATTTTCTACATTATTAAATAAAATAATGAATTTTTAGTTGAATTCTTCGTGACAATATTATAAATATATTCTAAAATTTTCATTAATCCAAGAAAGATGATAAAATTTATGATGTAAGTCACAGTTAAAAATAATCAATTGCTCAACATATACGTGTTAATTAGATTACTCTAACCATAAATATTCATTATAGAAATTATTTAAAATTTTTGATATCCGATTTTTTTGTCGAACGGTAATAGATATTGATTTATATCAGAAAAAATATGATCTATATTAGTCAAATACGAAAACTAGTAGAAAACATAGAGAATTATCGTAACATGTTGAATTTAATTTATAAACGTCTAATATTTCATATAGATATACTTTTAGCAACGATTTTAGTCATTCAACTAGATATTTTCATTTTTAATCAACGTATTAATATACGTTGAAAAAAACCTGATCAAATATTTTGAAAAAAGAAAATATACAGTCATCATTATCGATGGTTCAATGTGCTACATTTTGAAATGAAGATTAATTCTGAACTAAACCGTTATTAAGCCTAGCACTACCTAGTCGCTATGTAGCTAAAATATACTTTGTACTGTAAAAAAGAAATCAGGACTTCATTTATTCTCATATAGAAAGTTGATTTTAAGATCTTTGAGAAGCTCAAAAAACATATCGAGTACTTGGATGTCATGGTACTTCAATTCTCTGAAGATGATAAAAAATTGTTGAACTTAAAATAGACGAGTGTCAAGAAATGAAGTAGTTTTTTCTTTTCAAATTACATCATCATACATACTTTTTGATACTCACATTTTCGCTGCAGCGTTGTGATGATTCAATGAAATGAATCTCTTTTATACTATTATATCATATCAATAAACATTTTTATAATCCATCCCTATCTGCAGCAAAATTTGATTGATATTTTTGATTAAAAACACTATCCTTTCTTAAATATATCTTTATTTCAGTTTTGTCTAATTCTCTAAAAATAATTATCAGCTTTATACATGTTGGGTTATTTTTTGATGTTTTTTAATTAAAGCAATGTTTTTACACTATTTTCTCTAAATGATTCTTAAATACATGTTCAAATTTAATTTTAACAATAATCATACATTTACTAAAGATTTTTTTTTTCTTTTTGAAATTTCTAGTGCAAAAAAAATAAATTTAAATTTATTGTGACACCATTGTACGACCTTCAAAAAAAGAAAAAAACGGTCACATCGAATCGCTATAAAAAGTACATTCAAGACAATAGCATGTATAAAATTAATTTTCAATTAATAAAATTTTGTCAAATTTAGAAGCAATAAATAATACTTATCAAGAAAGCATGCTGTTTGATCAATTGAAACAAAAAAAAAACTTGTTACTTCTCACTGCTGGTGCCAGTATTTCCCACTGGCGCAATAAACCACTTGTCACTAAACAAAGTAGAATAATGGTCTGAACAAAAGAACATTAGAACATCATAGAAGTAGTCTGATCTTTCAGTTTTTAGGTGTGGGACTCAAGGATAGTTTCTTCATGAAATAAAATGTATTTATTTTCGAAATTGTACAACAAAATAATATGAAAGTTATCTCTATACACATCTTTATGCTATTATATCTCCAATTTAGTCGTCAATAATGGATTTATTTTGTATTTTCTTCACGTAATAGTCAAATATAAAAATGAATTAACAAACAAAAAAACGTACAAGTCAATATATGTACTAAAACTTAATAAGAATTTTTCCTTTCACGCTTTTACTAATAAAAATATATATATATACTCAGATGTATACCATGAATATAGAACTAAAATAGATCCAATCACAGTACTGTAAAAAAATCAAACAGAAATTAATTTCATTATAGAAAAAAGAAAATAGGATATAGCTGAACACACAAAGAAGAGAATAAGACATTACTTGTGTTGTTATCAAAAGAGTAACTGAATAACAACAATAATAAAAATTCAGCAATAGCATGATGATGTATATTTACAACAACAAAAAAAAACATATCGTCTCTTTAGAAGAAAAAC